TATATATATATATATATATATATATATATATATATATATATATATATGTGTGTGTGTGTGTGTGTGAGAGAGAGAGATATGTGTGATATGTGTGTGTGATATGTGTGTTTGTGTGTATACAAACATATAAGCATATACATATGTACATATAATATTTAAGTCATGTACATATTTAATATATTAAATCTTAGCAATATCTGTGTGCATATATATGTATGCACATACATATGCTCACACACACATACACACACACACACACTCACTCACACAAATAGGTATTGCCAATTAAGTAAAAGCCTGCTCTGTTTATTTCCCTCCAAAGAGTCTCAGATTTTTAAACTGGAGCAGGCTTGCAGGCAGAATTTCACCTACATTACTGTATGCTTTTCTGAAAGCACTAGCACTGTGGCAAGCAGTTCAAAGGCAGCTGCTGAGGCTGTTAATAGAATATGCAGAAAGTAGGGTATAGGGCATAAGGTCCAAAGAATGTCTCAAAAGGATGGAATCTAACTAGATGCAATTGTTTTCATTTCTAAAAAATTCATGAAGAGAATCATTTAGCAGATCTGACTGTATTAAAGTCCTGTGAATAATTAATGTCATCCAGCAAATTTTTATTGAGTTCCACTGTCATCCCTGTACCTTGTGGGGGAGGGCAGAGTAGATGTAGACCCTTCTCTTATGGAAGCCCAACTAGCTGGAGAGATGTTCTCTAACAGTGTACACACCACCAACCAGAGCCATGAGAACAGGGGAGGGGGGTACAAGTGAAGCCAGTTTTTCTGGGACATTGGTACAGATCGCACACACACACACACACACACACACACACAAGAGGAAGAGTTCAGTGCTTGTATTCAATGTGGATCTCCATACATATCCAGAAGTGTGTGTCCTTGTCAGTTTTTTAACTTGACACAAGCCAGAGTTATGAGTCAAAAGAAACCACAATTGAGAACATGCCTCCATATGACTAGCTTTTAGTAGGTGTATGGGCATGTTTTCATAATTAATGGTTGATGTGGGGAAACCCAGCTCGCTGTGGATGAGTTTAGCCCTTGGAAGGTGGTCCTAGATGGTATAAGAAAGCAGGTTGTGCAAGCCATGAGGAGCAAGCCAATAACTAGCATCCCTCCATGGCCTCTGCTTCAGTTCCTGTCCCCAGGTTCCTGCCCTGCTGGATTGCTACCTTGACATCTCTCAGTGATGGGCTATAAGCTGAAAGTCAATGAGGTAAACCCTTCCCTTACAGGTTGCTTTTGGTCATGGTGTTTCAGAAACCCTACCTAAGACAAGAGGCTTTGGTGGAATGAGTATGTACTGTTATAAAACATGAGTAATGATTTTCCAGGCTATATTGTGAGTAAGAACATCCTAGACACTAGACATGTAAGTTATAGGAGGTCAGCCTCAGGGGATGAAGTTTCGAGCTAGAATCAACTGGAGTCTGTTTTCTCTTCCTCCCGCCATCTTGAGAGTCCAGGCTTCCATGGCTAAAGTTTACCCCAGAGAGGGTCTACATCACAAGAAATCTCAAAAAGTTAACAGAAAAAAATTCCTCATCTCTTTGTGGAATACCCTGCAGCTTCTACGTTGATTGATAACACTGATAATTGCATGCTGTCCCCAAGCAATCTCTTTTCCTCATCTCCGTAATTAATAATGGATAAGAGGCACTCTGTACATTTTCGTTAATCAGTGTCCAGTGTGCAGGATGACACGAAAGTATCAGCACAAATTTATAATCTTTTAAGAGCATGCATTGATTCTTCTTAATAAATAAAAAGAAACAATAGTGACTTTAAGTGGCGTGTGTTCCACGAACAATTCAGACATCATCTCCAGCTCCAGGGGGAATGTCTGTCCATCTCTCCATCTGTGCCCATAAAACTTTGTGATAGTTTTGCGTTGATTATGGCATTTCATTCTTTTAAGTGTTATTATCCTCCAGGGAAAGTGGACCTCAGAGAGGTTAAGTAACTCCCCCAGCACCAAGTTGCCAGCACCTAGCAGAACAAGGACTGACTTCAGTAGGGTCCGTCTTTCCCTTTAATGACTGTTCAGCACTGTTTCACAAACATTCCTGTTCAACAGAGGTGTGCTGGTAAAGAGAGCTGTGGTATGCTTTTAAAACGGAAGTGCCACTTTGCACATATGATTCAGTAGATATGTGTGGCATCTGAACCTTCTACTTACTTATACATCTGTCTTCTGACGCACAGGCAGAACTCTGCTCCTCTCTTGAGTGAAACGAGGGGAAATGAACAAAGGAATTTCAGTGTTCTTGTCTTGGTTGTCTGTTCTCTTTCCTCTTGCACTTAATCCTTTTTCTGCCTCCTTCTCCTCCTCCTCCTCCTCCTCCTCCTCCTCCTCCTCCTCCTCCTCCT